GGTGACTTACTACTGTTTAACATACCAGTTTGTTCCAAACCTTCTCTAATGACACCTCCATCTGGGGCAGTTCCTCATATCTGTCACCCAAAATAAACGGCGCCGATACTGAAACATCCATCACAGCCTCGGCAGTGAAGACCGATGCAAAGAATTCATTTAGCTTTTCTGAAATGGCCTTATCTTCCTTTAGCATTTCCAATATCCAGCGGCTCTGATTGTTTGGAAGGATGCCTGCTTCTCATGTACGTATTTTTTTTTTTTTACAGTTCATTGTGTCTTTTGCAAGTTTCTCTTTAAATTCTATTTTGGCCTGCCCTATAATACTTTCACACTCGAGTTGCCACAGTTTATGCCCCTTTCTATTTTCTTCAGTTGGTTTTCACTTCCAATTTTTAAAGGATGTCTTTTGGCCACTAACCACCTCTGCTACTCTGTGGTTTAGTCAGAGTGGCATTTTTGATCCTCGTACTGTGGTTTTTAATTTGGGTATGTGTTTAAATTGAACCTCTATTATGATGTCTTTAAAAAGTTTCCATGAAGCTTGCAAGGATTTCAGTTTCCTCACTGTTCCTTTTAATTTCCAATTAACTGACTTCCGCATTTTTGTGAAGTTCCCCTTTTTGAAATTAAATGCTACCAAGGTGGGCTGCTCTGATGCGCCCCCCCACCCCCAGGAGTGTAACATTTTATTATGTTATGGTCACTATTATCAAGTGATTCAGCTATATTCACTTCTTGGACTAGACCCTGTGCTCCACGAAGGACTAAGTCAAGAACTGCCTCTCTCTTTGTAGGTTCCAAGACTAGTTGCCCCAAGAAGCAGTCACTGAAGATGCAAGAAAAAACAAGGACTGTGGTGGTGCTTTAAAGACTAACAGATGTATTAGGATATTCAAGCATGAACTTTTGTGAGCTGCCACTCATTTCCTCAGATGCTGAATTGGGAGGGGTTGCGACTAATCTGGAGGATAGGGTCATAATTCAAAATGACCTGGACAAATTGGAGAAATGGTCTGAGATAAATAGGATGAAGTTTAATAAGGACAAATGCAAAGTGCTCCACTTAGGAAGGAACAATCCGTTTCACACACACGGAATGGGAAGCGACTGTCTGGGAAGGAGTACGGCAGAAAGGGATCTAGGGGTTAGAGTGGATCACAAGCTGAATATGAGTCATCAGTGTGATGCTGTTGCAAAAAAAGCAAATATGATTCTGAGATGTATTAACAGGTGTGTTGTGAGCAAGACACGAGAAGTCATTCTTCCACTCTACTCTGCGCTGGTTAGGCCTCAGTTGGAGTATTGTGTCCAGTTCTGGGCACCGCATTTCAAGAAAGATGTGGAAAAATTGGAGAAGGTCCAGAGAAGAGCAATGAGAATGATGAAAGGTCTAGAGAACATGACCTATGAGGGAAGACTGAAGGAATTGGGTTTGTTTAGTTCAGAAAAGCGAAGATTGAGGGGGGACATGAGAGCCGTTTTCAGGTATCTAAAAGGGTGTCATAAGGAGGAGGGAGAAAACTTGTTCATCTTGGCCTCTGAGGATAAGACAAGAAGCAATGGGCTTAAACTGCAGCAAGGGAGGTTTAGGTTGGACATTAGGAAAAAGTTCTTAACTGTCAGGGTGGTCAAACACTGGAATAAATTGCCCAGGGGGGTTGTGGAATCCCCATCTCTGGAGATATTGAAGAGCAGGTTAGATAAATGTCTATCAGGGATGGTCTAGACAGTATTTGGTCCTGCCATGAGGGCAGGGGACTGGACTCGATGACCTCTCGAGGTCCCTTCCAGTCCTAGTATGCTATGATTCTATGAAGAGAAAAAGAAAGACGGACGGTCGAGGTTGGATATTAGGAAAAACGATTTCCCTAGGCGGGTGGGGAAGCTCTGGGATGGGTTCCCTAGGGAGGGGGTGGAATCTCCATCCCTAGAGGTGTTTAAGTCTCGGCTTGACAAAACCCTGGCTGGGATGATTGAGTTGGGATTGGTCCTGCTTTGGGCAGGGGGCTGGACTCGATGACTCCTGAGGTCTCTTCCAGCCCTGGGATTCTATGCTATTTTACATTAGTAGCTATGCAGTGAATGAGTCTTTGATGGTGTGGCTGATGTGGTTAGGTCCTGTGATGGTATCACTAGGGTAGATGTGTGGACAGAGTTGGTGACAGGGATTGGTTCTTGGATTAGTGTTTCTGTTGTGGGGAGTGTGGTTAGTGGTGGGTATTTGCTTTAGGTTGGGGGCCTGTCTGGCCTGTCTCCCAATGTCTGTGAGAGCGAGGGATCGCCAACGAGGGTGGGCTGTAGAGCCTTCATGATGTGTAAGCGAAGTTTTATCAGGCGGCTGTAGGTAGTGGCTAATGATGTTCTGTTGCTTTCTGTTTCATCTGAAGAAGTGGGTTGTGCCCAGAAAAGCTCATGAGACCATCTACATGTTTTCTTAGGGTGCTGTAAGACTATTTGCTGTTTTAAAAGTTTTTCCAGTTACAGACTAACACGGCCACCCCTCTGAAACTCTTGCTTTCTTGGTTGGGGCTGTCTTCTAACAGGTGACTTCTGGGTACCCACCTGGCTTTATCTGTCTGTTTCTTCACTTCCCCCGATGGGTACTGTCGTTTTAAGAATGCTTGACAGAGATCCCGTGGGCGTTTGCCTCTGGGTGAGGGATTGGAGCAGCTGTGATTCTATTTTAGGGACTGACGGCCGTGCAGACAATGGGTCGTGTGATGTGTTTAGTGGAGGTGTGTAAGTCGAGTGGTCAGTAGGTTTCCAGAATAGAGTGGCGTTTACCCGACTCTCCATTATTTGTGCTGTAGTGTCCAGGAAGTGGATCTCTTGTAGGGGGTGCTCCAGGCTGAAATTGATGGTGGGGTGGAAACTGCTGAAACCCCCGTGGGATTCTTTAAGGGCCTCCTTCCCGTGGGTGCAGATGAGGGAGACGTCATCAATGTAGTGTAAGGAGAGGAGGGGCCCCTCTGCACCCCATGCTGAGGCGACATGTATCCAGTCAATAGGGGGATAGCGGAATTCCCCCATTATTAATGAATGCTTTTTATTTTGACAGGCTCTCTAATCTCCCTGGGCGTTCCACTAGGCAAGGTGATCTGTCGTCAAAGATTCAAAGGAGTCTGGGGGTCCCAGCTGCTACTGCAGCTGGAGCTCCGGGCCCTTGAAATTGGTTCCGGAGCGCCAAGCTGTGCTCTACGGACGGGGCTGGAGCACGTTGCAGTCTGAGCGGCTCCCCTGGCCTTGCCACTTCTGGGAGCACAGAGCAACCCACCCCTTCCCCAGGGGCCTGCACAGGCTGTCGGCTGGCTCCCATCTAGAACAGATCCCACCTATTATTGCTATCCTGTTACCCAAACATGGAACTACTCGCCAGAGAGACTCTATGGCACAGCTTGGCTCCTTGAAGATTTTTGCTTCCTCTGACTCCGGGCTTGCTTTCACTGAGACGGTCTCTCCCTACGGCCCCCAACCCAGTTCTGCGCCGGTCGTGTGGGTTTCCAAACCCGCGCTGCCTGCAAACCTGGGCTAACAATTGCTGGAGCCGAGTCTCACCGCCTGGTAAGCACGTCCACGCGGATGTTAGGAGCCGGGTCTCGGTGTGTGGCTTGCCCTCCCAGCGCCAAACGACCCAGGTCACAGCGGGCCTCAAAAAAGATATTTTGGCCTTGGAAAGGGTTCAGAAAAGGGCAACTAAAATGATGAGGGGTTTGGAACGGGTCCCATACGAGGAGAGGTTAAAGCGACTGGGACTTTTCAGTTTAGAAAAGAGGAGTCTGAGGGGGGATAGGATAGAGGTCTATAAAATCATGAGTGGTGTGGAGAGGGCGTGTAAAGAAAAGTTATTTATTAGTTCCCTAAATAGAAGAACTAGAGGACACCAAATGAAATTAATGGGTAGCAGGTTTAAAACTAATCAAAGAAAGTTCTTCACACAGTGTGTAGTCAACCTGTGGAACTCCTTGCCAGAGGAGGCTGGGAAGGCTAGGACTAGAACAGAGTTTAAAGTGAAGCTAAATACTTTCATGGAGGTTAGGTCCATAAAAGGCTATTAGCCAGGGGATAAAATGGTGTCCCTGGCCTCTGTTTGTCAGAGGCTGGAGAGAGATGGCAGGAGACAAATCGCTTGATCATTGTCTTCGGTCCACCCTCTCTGGGGCACCTGGTGCTGGCCACTGACGGCAGACAGGATACTGGACTAGATGGATCTTTGGTCTGACCCAGTACGGCCGTTCTTATGCCTTGGCGCCATTCTCCTGGCGGGGCCCCAGTGCTGGGTGATGCAGTGAGTGGACAGAAGGCAGGACTGGGCTCCAAGCGGAGCCAGGGCTGGGTTAGCAGGGGACTGGCAGCCCCCTGTGGCCACAGGAGGGAGGGACCGGCCCTATCTGGCCTGCTCCTTCCTTTGCCCCCCGGCTGGTGCTTTGGGAAGGCCGGGGCGCCCCG